CACATTCAGACCACTCTGCCCCTCGCCACCTTTTCACATCTGCCCTCACATCCCACTTAATCCCTTCATCTTTTATCTGTCATTCTCTCTTCCTCCTCCTCGTGCCCTCTGTTGTCCACGGTGGCTTCACGGCTGTGTTTTATTTACGTATCAGTGGAAAGTCTGAGCACATTTTTTTCCCTCCTGAACTGTCTAACCAAGCCTCTGCTCCTCTGGACTTGCACTCCCTCCCACTCTCATATGGATGTTAGCTGTCATTGCTTCTGACAGGACGCAGGTGAGTGCTGATGCCTTTGCCAGTGATGAGCGAGAGGGAGGCCTCGCTAGGGGACCTCTCTTTCTTTCTCTCTCTCTGGGTTTAAAAAAGAAGCATTTTCATACTCGCCCAATGCCGCCGAAGCCTCAATACCATGAAGCCTCACACTTAAGAGGACTTTACAAAGACACTGTTTGTTTCTGTGATGGAGACTTACTATATGCACACCCACATTCAGTGTTTTTTCTTTTCTTTTTTTTATTGAGAGCAGTTTCTGTGTTGTATTTATTTTTTTAAGGATCTCCTTGGTGGGTGGAAAAAATAATGGGATTCCTCTTGGCAAGGCTAGGACGTTCGTTTAGCCGCACTTGTGGAGGTGGAGCATTAGGAAGAGCGCTGGCCTGGATCTTGCTCACTTTCTTTAAAACTGAGAGAAAGATGTCCATGGCCTTGATTCTGTTTGTTTCAGTTTAATCATGAAATGAATAATTGAGGATGTGGTTACTGTCTCAACTTATCCAGGACACGAAACAGTTGCGTATCTCACACAATGGCAACAAATCCCATGAAAAGTCCCACATCACTGTTGGGTTTATTTTGCTAGCAGTTAGTACCTGCATAGCCAAAGCCTGTTAAGTCTTTACTCCGTGTCTTAGATCTCTGTGTGATAGATGAGTCACACTGGGTGAAGTGTTCCTACATTTTCCTTGGCCATGAGACTCTGATGCAGCACTCACAACTACCAAAAAAGACTGTTTGAATGAAATTTATAAACAACTGCTGGTCTTTTCAATGTATAAAAAAAGCATCAGCCCTCTTTAACATTATTGGCTGATTTTAGGTCAACATACTGTGACAGACAATAGATTTTTCTTTTAATTGATATTTAAAAGTTTAAATATCTAGTTTAGTTATTTCAGCTGAAACCAGTGACTCTCACACTGGGGTCATCCATCGTTGATGCCAAAAAGTACAGTGATAGTTTTGTTTCATTGTGTGGGTTTTGTTTTTGTTTTTCAATTCAAGTATTCATTTACCACATTGGCACAGTATTAGGGATCATTTTCATGCTGAAAAAGGAAGCTGTAGCCAATCACGTTTTCTATACATGATGGGTCAAAATCCGATTGTACAAACGCATAATTCCAGTTTTTCCGATGGTTCACCCAAAGGTCCAGAGGCACCACTCAGGTCCTGTGTCAGGTCTGTGCTGGATATTTTTTAAGACTTATTACATCTTCTTTTGTCCCCCACTTGTCCAGTTTCCTCAAATTTATTAAGGACACAATGCACACCAGTGCCGAAATCTAGGGAGTTTTAGGCTAATAGCGCTTTGTAAAAACACCTTGTTGATGCAAAAATGCTTTTTGGCAAACTGCATTATCGTTGGTATTTTTCATGTATTCAACTAAAGAAATGGTAACAAATTATCTGTTTTGCAGCAGGCTGCCAGTAAAAAAGTTCCCTTAAGATACAATTTAAAATTGTGTGTTATTTATAGACACAACACTGGCTCCTTGGAAGCAAAATTTGAAGAAATGAGGGGTGGCGCAGGACTTTTGCACATTGCTGTTATAAATGGAAAAAATGAGGGACATTTACACAAACAAAATAAACATATTCCACCTTCACCCATGTTATCTTTTCAATCCAGATTTATTTTCTGATACAATTGTGTAAAATTGTGTCACGTGTGTCTGAAGCATTTAGGCTGAAAGGGTTTGGAATACCAATGGTTTGAATGGTACCTAAATGATGTTACAGTTTTTGGAAATTTCTCAAATTTCCAAGAGGCTCCAAAGTGTTTTAGAAGTGCTGAAATAAATGACACAAGAGCATTAGAACATATTCTTTTCAGCAGATGTGCCTCAAGCAGTTTAAGTATATGGTTGTGAGTCGGGCTCTTCAAACTGTGCTCAGAGACTCTTTGTGGAATACACGACCTCGCGTCTCGCTGAGTGATCTATATCTGACAGCACCCATAACCAGCCCATATCCTGGTGGAAGCATTCCTCCCTCTCATGCATGGCTCTGTTTGAAGCTTTCTTTTTCCCACCCTCTGTTTTTCCCTCTATCTCTCTCTACTTCTTCCTTTAATAGCTGATCCCATTCTTACGCTTCTTGTATTTCAAACGCATATCTGCGAATTGTCTTGATGTCTGCAGCATGCCCTGACAGAATGATGGACAACACTCCCATCCCTCCTTCTGTCACTGCTGGCACGGGCGTAACTTGCTTCTCACAAGCCATCATTGTTCTCTTTTAATTCAAAGTCCCGCCTCTCCCCACCACATCCATCCCAACTGAGTACAGGACACACAAAAGCTAAGAATCCCCTCAATCCCCTTGAAGAACAAAGGTGGGTATCAAATGATTAGCTTACATGCAATAACTCATCCAGAGTGATATTCTGTCACCACTGAAACAGCGCTTTTGCATTGTTGTTTGTGGAGTGTTTACCCACTGGGACAGCAATAGAAGTAATTCAATATACCTGGAAAATCAGCACAGCGTGTGGGAGCAATGGAGGATTTTAACAGTGACTTATCGCCTCCTGGTGGATTTTTTTTTTTCTTTAAGGATCTGCACACTTGGCGTCTATAATATAGTTGATCGCTGCCACCTGCTGGTGTGCTCAGTCCTTTAAGCGAATAAGAATGTTCAAAAAAGCTGTCATGGAGGTCTGTATTATCTCCAAAAGGGTCATTTGATTTACAGTCAGCAAAAAACACACAATCAACAAGCAAAATGCAATAAATAGCGTGCTATTCACAAGACTAATGGCAAACTTCTCTGAGAAAGGGTGGCTAGAGTCATCCAGGATAGGCTGGGCCTGTCCTTACCTTGTACAGGTTATGAAGATGATTCAGGGTCACACCTGCAATTTTGCTACACTGTTGCTGTTTTTTTGGGGGAGGGGGGGGGTAGGTTTAGTGAGCGTTCCAGCTGATAAAAGAGAACATGAGAACAAATTCAATAAAACTCATAAAAGTGCTGTTGACGTGGAAACCACAGAGCTTGTAGTTAAAGTGCATGCGTGGTTAGGTTGTTCTACAGACGGCATCCACCTGGAGCTCAAAGGTCAACTTACAGCCTTTGCTTGCCTATAAAATAAGGAAAGGCTGTAAAGCTATAAAAACAGTGCCTCGCCCACCTTTATTAGCTAAAATATTATTATTATTATTATTGTTGTTATTGTTGTTGTTGTTGTTAAATTAAGGGGACTATGGAAAACGAGATCTGGAAGACCATGAAAATTTTCAGATTAAAACTGCGCATCAGTGCGTGCTAGTTTAGCTCACTGGTTGAAAATCCCTATGGCTATACAGCATCCAGGGTTCGAATCCAACCTGCAGTCCGTTGCTAAGTATCTTCTCCGACTCTTTCTTGTCAACTCTTTACTGCAAAAACTTGAAGTGCAAAAACAAAACGGAAAAAAAACCCTGCACATCATCAATCTGTTACCTTGTTTGACAGAAATCTGTGCATTTCTTTCTTTTTTATGACTATTTACTGAACAAAAATGTGCATTATGATTTTGTAAACTGCCTAAGCATAAAAGGTTTTTTAAAAATAGCTTATTATAAGTTGAATGGGGGAAAGAGATTTTGCTTTGGGTCTGGCTAAAACGTTTTGGGGTGGGAATGTCAGAATTTCTTAATGGCAGGAAAAATGCTGGAAGGAAACCTTAGCTGCAATTTGTGTGAGATGTGCAGCATCTTGATGAGCCAGAGTGCTTTTAAAAACACATCCAGCCAGTAGTTAAAACTTTAAACTGAGTTATTTTTATGTTCACAGATAAATATGAGGCAGCACTTTAAGAGAAGTACAGTGTGCCAGTTGTTAAGTATGATGATGGTGCAAATATTATAAGTGGCTTTGAGCTTGTTAAAACTGTCACCCCTCACTGAGTGACAGCATCAGCTCGCTGTTGTTATTTAGTGTAGAGTGGAATTGAAGATCATGGGAGATGTTTATTTTTGGGCCCAAATTTTTAAGTATTTGATGTTCAGCTCAAATCCAGAACGCTGACTTTAATGTGTGCTATCTTTCTGAATTTGTTTCTCTCTCTCTGTGTCTGTGTGTGTGTGTGTGTGTGTGTGTGTGTGTGTGTGTGTGTGTGTGTGTGTGTGTGTGCGCAGAAATCCTGAAGAAAGGCAGCTCGGTGCACCCTGCACTTCTGAAGAAGGAGGTGGAGGCTGTCCGGGACAAACAGCGAAGACCTGTCTACTGCGATCAGCTGCTCCAGCACATCAGCTCACTGCCCACAGAGTCCACAGCAAGCTGCACGGAGTGACGCTGCACACGGAGAAACGGACAGATGTTTGTGCCTTAACTGTGAAAAAAGTGTTCACTTTCTGTTCTTTGAAGTCTATTTAATTGTTTTTGTTTGTTTTTTAGCAAGAGTAGAAAACATTTCCAAGACCTGTTCATTACCTCACCATTGTTCTAAAGTACTATGAGTTTTATGACTAAATTTTCTTTAAAAAAAAAAAAGAAAAGATTTTTTAATAATTTCTTTTTATTCATGTACAGTCTCCTTAATTTGCTGTGTTCTGCATTCATTCCTCGGCTGCACTCCTTTGGCTCTAATGTTTGATTTTAAGAAAAATGTTTTCAAAATGGTGTATGTTTGGTTGTTTGTGCATATCCTGTTTGTACTAAACCGGTCAGAGGAGCTGGTCATGTGATTTTTGCCTTCAAAATAAAAGCACAAGCTTTTCTTATATTTGTCCAAACCGACTTGATTGGATGTTTAAATCCAGGTTATATTTCATGAAATCTGATTCTTTAAATAGGACATTATAGATTTCTGCAGCACCACACTGATAAGAGCAGCGCTCCTGTATCCATCCTTTTCACAATCTGCTGATTCTCGCTCATCTATTTGAGATCTGCCTCCAACATGTAGCCACCCGCGTACTGATAGCAGAGCTCCATCCATGCCGTGTCTAAACAGCGACTTTTGCATCCACCCAGCCGGCCGTGACACAAACATCCCGTCCTGTGTTCTTTCACCATGCTGCAGATCGGAGATGAGGTGGTGTATTTCTCAGTGGTGTTTCTGCTGGTTGTACTGGTAACTAGAAGCGCCACTTGGGCCACCCTCCTCACCGCGTTTCTCTACATCTTCATGGTGATGTTCCGCTTCCCTCCGGTGCCGGCGGACCGGGCCGCTCGAGTCCTGCGGCCCGGCGCTCTCTCCTCAGGCGGCGGCGTCCCGGTGGTGGCGCACCGCGGAGGAAGCCACGACGCTCCGGAGAACACCTTGGCAGCGATCAGAGAGGTGAGAGCTGTAGTGCTCTGATTTATAACCACAGGCCTCTTGTCTCTTATCTACCTGCAGCAAATGACAGGTGCAGGGACATTTAATTATGGTGTTATCTGGAATAACAGCCCCTTGGGTTAAAAGCCATTGCTGAGACATGCTGTCGCTGTTACTTTTGCAGTAAAAGCAGGTTTTCTTGGTGTTTTTCACCTGCTTTTGGGGGGGGTTAGAAATAAGTGGAAGTAGGTCAGACTCATCTTGCACCTGATTCTGCTCCTGTGCCGTTTATAATCTGATGCCATCTTTATGATGAAGATCTGCTCTCCATCTCACAATGCCTTCTCTTCCTAGCATCTATCCAGATGCCTAAACCTCTGGATGAAATGCTTCTTTTATTTCAACAGGCTGGTTTTCAGCTTTTTATGAGTATGAAGCAAAGATAAAATCTTATCTGTCTTCTGGACAGCAGAATTCATCCATCCATGTATATAATCATACATTGGTTCACACTGTATCAGTCTGTCCCATTACATCTGCTCTAGGCTAGTAGGAACGGGGCCACCGGAGTGGAACTGGACCTGAGTTTCACAGCCGACGGAGTCCCAGTCCTGATGCACGATGAGACCGTGGACCGAACCACCAATGGGTCTGGACCAATCAGCAAACTTCAGTTTGTTCAGCTCAGGAGACTCAATGCTGCTGCTCACCACAGGATGAAGTAGGCTGCCTATTGATCAGTGATTCAAGCGTGTTTAGGCTAATTAAAAAGGGGAAAGTGTTTGTGAACAATAAGCTGCTCAATGTGGAGTCTTAGAAGTGTGTTTCACCAAAAGTTCACAGTTTTAGAAATGCAGAAACTTTGGTTCTCTTTTTGTCTTTTTTTCCTCCTTATTTTTGTCTATATGTGTATTTTTCAACAAAATGATTTAATAGTGCATCTCTTTTCATAGACGTAGAATAAAACTAATAGAATGTACACAGTTGTGGTCAAAAACCTTACATACACTCATCATGCTCCAAAAATGACACCTTTATTCTCGCGTCTTTCCACACGGATGAGTCAAATATCTTGTGGTTGCAAACCTGAGAACACTATACCAAATTTCAGGCATGGTGGTGGTAGCATCAAGCTCTGGGGCTCTTTTGCTGCCAGTTATACTTGTAGATTGTCAATTCAGTCAAGAGGAGTGGTCAAATATCCAGTTTGAGTTAGAAGCAAGAAACTTGTTTATGGCTACCAAAGGCATCTGTTTGAGGTGCAACTTACTGCGAGCATTTAACCAAATATTAGTGGGTGTGTATCTATACTTTTGACCGTGTGTGGATTAGAGAAAATCCAAAATAAATTCAAACTTGTGCACCCACTTCTTGCTTTCAAAGTCATTAAAGATGTGTAATGTGAAATCATCCTGGAAAAAGAACAGCTCAAAGAAATCATATATTTATGCTTACAATGAGACATTTATGCTCATTGTGAGCATAAATGAGTTGATGCAAACTTCTGACCACCAGCTTTACACAGATGTAGTTCATAGACCAGTAACCAGTAAGAACAGGGAGTTATGTCAGTTTTCCAATGGTTTCTTTTAATTTGCAGGGACAGATTTAATGTAGAGAAGGTTCCAACTCTGCAGGAAGCTGTGGAGGAATGCATCAGGCACCAGCTGACCATCTTCTTTGATGTCAAAGGTCAACCTGATATGGTACTACATACACTAAGCGCTAACCTAACAGGCTTATGGATACATTACTCAACATACATACAAGGCTCTCGAAGAAAGGAGAAAAACTACACGCTAGCTGAACTAATGCAATGATTGTAATAAAAAAAGAAAGAGACTGACGTTACCGCACAGTTATAGTACTTGTGTTGTTCATTCCCCTGCTTTACAGGCTGTATCAGTGCTTCATAACATGTTTAAGAAGTTCCCGGTGCTTTACAACTCCAGCGTCGTTTCCTCCTTTGAACCCAAAGTCATCTACAAGGTAATTCAAAAACTCCTGAATTACACTAATCATGAAAATCAGTCAAAAACAACTCCAATCATAACGGTTTAGGATAATGTTTAGGAGGAGGAATTCTGTGAGTGATTTCAGCTTCTCGTAATCAGCCTCTGTTTTATGGAGGCAGTGATGTCATTTTGTGTGGCAGTGATGGGCCCTGCTGAGATTTATCACCCAAGACTTTCTTGCTCACCACCGGTACAGATTGAATTCAATCCACTGTTTTTGTTTAAACGAAATAAAAGGCTCTACTAACTACTAAAACCTGCACTGTGTTGACCTTTGTCCTCTTCTGGTCCGCAGATGCGTCAGACTGACCCCCACGTGATCACAGCTCTCACCCACCGGCCCTGGAGACTGAGCCGTTTTGGAGACGGCACGCCTCGTTCTCTGTCGACGTGGAGCCAGTTGTGGACCGGTGTTCTGGACGTCTTGTTGGACTGGGCCCACCATCGCGTACTGTGGAAACTTTGTGGGATCTCTGCCATTCTTGTGCAGAAAGACTTCATCTCACGGTAATTGAGAGTTGACAGGTAGTTTATTTTGCCGTAGACTGTGTTGTTGCAGACCAACGGTGACCAACAGGAAGGTGGTTTTGATTCATCTGTTACTCATAAATGATTAACTTCATATTTAGTGTTAAAAAGTACTGTGCAAAAGTCTCGAGCCACCTCTCGATTTTTGAAATATTTTTGCTGCGTGAGAATTGCACAATTGAGTTTGTTCTCTTTCCTTTCAATCAGGGACTATGTTCAGTATTGGGCAGAGCGAGGAGTGGAGGTGGTGGGCTGGACTGTTAACACTGCTGTGGAGAAGGAGTACTACCAAAACCTGCTGAAGATCAGCTACATGACTGACAGTCTGCTGGAGGACTGTGATCCTCATTATTGAGCGATACCACACAGCCACACTCACAGAAATCATCCCGGCTTACAGGTTCTCAATATAACCAAATTAGATCTTAGAAACTCGTTGGTTTGACAAAGGGTATAATTAAGAAGTGCAATCATTCATTTCTACTCCTGCGTACAAGTAAATAAAAACCATACCCGATTTAAAGTGGTTAATCTCCCCTTCAAGGCAGCCTCCTTAGGAAGTCCTCTTGCTCTTCCATAAATCTCCTCTGTGTCAAAATGGTGACCCTTCAACTTGAATTCCCTCAGAAATCTCAGGACATTACAGTACACCTCAGAGTGAACAGTGTCAGCCTGGGATGGGAACAGTCACAGCTCGAAACCTGCTCGGTGCTGCAAAAATGATGAGCGTGCGTGGTGTGTAGTGAAATCAAAGAGGCACAAGAACGAGTGGTCACGACTGAAGTGCTGCAGCGCCTCACAAGGAGCTGACTTTTAGGTGGCGATCAGTCAGATTCATAACCAGTGCAGATTATTTTTAAAGAATAGCAACACACGTCATTTTTCCTTTTAATAATCCTAAAAATCGTATATAATAAAGTGAGAGTGTTGATAATACTGAAAGATAAATTATAAAATGGAATAAAGCTAGAAGTTTGGTGCTAGCTAATTCTGTGATGGCAACCAGTTCCACAGAAATACACCGGTTTACAGTGTTGTGCAAAAGTCTTGAGCTAACACTTGTTTCTTTATATATCTTTGAGTAATCTTCAGGAGTAGTTCCCAGGCTTCTTGAAGGACATTCAAAGCTCTTCTTTGAATGTTTCTGCCTTTTGTGTCAAGACGCTTCAGTAAAGTTGAGGCTCGAGCTCTGCAGAGGCCGATCCATGATTGATAGTTTCCTATTGTATGTTATCCATGTTGTTTTTACTGCATTGGGAGTGTGTTGGATCATTGTCATGCTGTCCACATCATTCAGTCCAGTTCTTGTGTAGTTCAGCATACCTCCGCCTTTTCTCCTCTTTTCCCTTCCTTACAAATGGCTCCGTGACCGCCGTCCTTCCACCGAGACCATTTGTGATGAGCGTTCAGTGAACAGCAGACGGCTCAACTGAAGGTTCAGAAGCATCTCTCAAGTTCTGTATCAAACCTGAATTTTCTTTCCTATGTCTTAAGAAGATGACTTTCACATACTGTTCATGTACTGTTCCTGCTCATATATATATCTGCAGATGCTGTAGATATATATAGTTTTTAGAAACTACTACATCTTCTTTTATCCTGCACTTGTCCAGCTTCCTCAAATGCTGTAAGGACCGGCTGCACACCATGCTGGGATTTTTCAGTTTTTGGCTGTTTGTGAATCACCTTGTTGGTGCAAAAATACTTTTTTATATCTGCTAGAAAGAAAGTGCCTAAACACACAATTTCAAATGGGTTCTTTGCAAAGTTGTCTGTTATGTGTAGACACATACAATAGGAATTATTCATAGGTCAAGTGTTAAGTCCCTTAACAAAAACAAACAAACCGAAATTATTCCCCTGAAAATGATCAGGTACAAGGACTGGACTGAAAATGAGTGAAAAAGCAGCCAAAGTCCAAACAAAAACTTTGAAAGACCTTCAGAAAGCCCAAAGAACTATTGCTCAAGACCACCTTTTGAAAACTTCCAGTAAAATCTGACTCTTCTTCTAGTTACCTGTAGCTGGCACACAGGCTATACAAACATGCGACACCATGAAGGAACATGTGCAGACTTGTCACCTTTATTCTACTGCCGGCAGTAACACCTCCACCTCACCTGGACCAGGGATAAGCATTTTCTCTACCTGCTGTGCTGCTGATCTTCCACAGGTTTTACTGCACCTTTAAAGAGACAACAATGTATGTATATAGTGGTTACATAACATTTAGGCATCATATTTACTGCTTGTCATGATGACATTGTCATAATGGTAAAAGATCTCATGTCACTGCTATGTGATGTTTATTTAATCCTGCAGCTGCACAAAAACACAAGAAACTGTGCTGCATGTAAGACAGTGATAATATGGGTTAATTGTACAATTCAAAAGTGCAAGCAGAAGCACCAACTCAAATATTTCTATATTGTTTTAATGCGTGTGTCAATAAAAGAGGGTTTTGTTTAATCTGAGAAAAAGTGGGTCATGAATCATGCGAGGTGACACACGCAGAACATCTCATTCATTACTGTAACTCATATTTATTCCTCTGATGTTTCAGGTGTGTTTCTGTGTCCAACTGCTGCTAATAGTTTCATTTACAGGGTCAAAGTTTGCTTTCTTACTTTCTTAATGAACACTTGAGTTGTACTCGTGTAAAGATAAGTAAAAATATATATATATATCAAAAACAGCAGTATTTGTTTTGTCTTTAACTGCAACACATCTGAGATACAGACATCGAAAGATTTGGAAGTTTTTTCCCCTTAAAAGGTTACAGAAGAAACAAAAAGGGGCCTTGGTATCGAGAACTCCCGCCCGGGCTTGGGATCGACCTGGTTACACTCTGACTGAGAACCAGGACGCAAATAAATATATTTCAATCATGAATTGACGCACTAATGGTTCGAAATGCTGCAAACAATATCAGACCAACGCATAAAATTAACTTTTTAAGCCTCAGAATTGAACTGGGGGAGAACTCCCACAGATGTGTTACTGTTGGTGCACCTGTGCTCACCTGTGTGTACTGTAAACACAGACATCGTTGGCGCATTTGCTGCTTGTTGAAGCACATACACGTCACTCATCTGACCCGATTTTAGTGTCTTATTCGTCACACTGAGGCCGAATCATCGCGATAACGTGAAATCATCCTGCCTTTTCGCTCTCACCTGAGGCAAATTAGTGAAACAAGCTTCATTACACCTCTGCAAGTCTCACTTCACACTCGGGGGACGCTGTCGCTTTAAAGCGCCAAAGGAGGCGTGTAGGCACGTCGAGACGGTGACCGTGTGCGTCTCGTGTCTTACGAATGACTGCCGCTGTTTCAGGTTATGTGACATTGTGGCCGGCCAGGACACCTTAGCACCAAAGTGACTTACATTTTGTGAGTGATCGGGGCACACGGAGAGACGAGACTCTGACTGTGCACTGGTCGCTAGTTTTTGGGGTTGTTGTGTTTTTTACGCGTGGCGCACTGCTCTGCTTCACGAGGTTACCGAACAGTTTGCACACTCTCGTGCCCCAGCTCAGTGGATTGATCAGCTTCTCACATCAGAAGAGCTTCTTGGATGTACGTGCTTCGCTTCACACTTCAAAGTGTCGAACTCGGGGATCACAGGTGAAGCCGCCCGCGCATGATGTACACAATTACAAGAGGTCCCAGCAAACTGGTCACGCAGCGACGCACAGGTGAGACTGTGGGGCTAAACTATGAAGCACGGCACACCGGAAAACCCACTTTCACCTCTCCGGACTGCTGATAACAAGTTGTTTTATCCTCTTTGTCTTGCTCTCCAGGGCCCACACAGCAGCTGGACAGCAAAATCAGTGACTTCAAGCACAAACAAACGTCCTGGAATATGCCTGGGTAGGTGCACAGGTCGTGAAAGGAGACAATTGTAAAGAAATGATTGCATTATAGTTTTTTCAGATACTTTTGGTTGTGATTGTGAATGACTGTGTCCTAGCAGCTGTGGACGTCATCAGCTAGAGACCGCAGCAATTGTTCATCAGCTGATGCCTTGGTGATTGAATAAAACTCCGCTCTGATTTTCTCTGAGCTTGGCCTGCCTACTCTGTTGGGTTTTCATGATTTTTGGTTTGAACCAGCCAGGCAGACTGGCCCTGTTCATGTGTGTGTGACCTTGGATCACAAGGTCCCTCATTCAGCTGTTGTAACTTCTTACTCCTGCTTAACCAGCCTTTCTTGGATATAGGATATCACTTAAAGTTCCTGCTTGGGAATGATAATGAGCACTTTCTTTCTTGCAGAAATCAACACAGTACTTCTCTTGTCCCCCTTTCAGACTTCCCGCTCCAAAGATCGTTTTCAACCGTCCGAATGGTAAGAAATACCATCACCCTGCTCCAGCTCTGCCTGCACACAATCATCACGAAGAGAGTTTCACCCCGTCACATGAAGAAAATGTCAAGTTTGTCTCTGAGGGTAAGAAAGTGAGAGACCGTTACACCCATTCCTCACTTGCTGTTTTGTGAATGACATTGTTTTACTATCAAGATGCTAACCAGCCCCTTCTTCCCTCCAAGGCCTCACCCACACAGCTGCTCTGACACTGATAGGCACTGAGCAGAAAAATGCTCCCACGCCCACATCGATCTCCTCTTGACCCACGCTGGCACATGTGCTGAAAGAAATGACATTTCAGGCTTGGGGTTTAAATCTAGGCATCACTTTAAAGAAGAGCACCAAAGCGTTCTGACAGGATTGTTGGGTCTGGTGACCCGGATTTGAAGTTTGGGCTTCTTTTTAACATTCACAAACCCAGCAGGTCTCCAGGAGATCCCCCACTTGGCTCAGTGGTTCTTACACTGTGTGTCCTGTTGTTGGCATTGAAGCTCAGTCACAGCAGCTCATAAACGACTTGAGTGACCTTGGCACTGACTGGACAAGGGCACAAAGTAGGCCTGACACTGCTTTTCTGTTCAGGTTGGATTGGTTCTTTTCTGTTCACTGAAATACAAATTGTATAATCAAACGTATCCACTGGGGGCTCCTCAAAGTCGTGACCTGGAGACAGCTGCCAAAGTTGAACTCAATCGTAGTGTACAACCACACACACACAGTTTGTGACCACGTGCTTCACTGTTTGGAACACAAACATTGGTCAGAGGTATGTCTCTGAAACAGTTGCTGGACTTTACTTGTTAGGCACTGTGGGTGTGGCCCTGGAGTGTAGGACTGGACAGAGGACATTTTGGTGTTCATGGTGGCTTTACTGACCGAAGTCTTGTGTTTTCAGCCTGGCAGGAGGTGCTACAGCAGGAGGTGGGCCAGGCTGCACAGAAAGCAGTGCATTATAAAGAGGCCACTCCCAGCCCACACATGGACGGTGAGTATAGCTACTGTTTTTCCTTTTTGTGTTATCTTCAGACCCCAAGTCTGTGTTTTTTACGCACTGTGACAAAAAGTCCTGAGATTTTATTTATTTAGTGCAAGTGTAACAATCATATTTCATCTAGCTGCAGCTCACAGGCCTGTAACTGTTGCAACCTGTGCAGAAGGTCGCACTGGTTTATAACAGCCAAATAGCATAGCCCAAAGTCACGGGTCAAATCTGTTGACTCATTCTAAAATTTTATTATAGCAATGCATAGGCAAAGCTCACACACGTTTTCATGGTATTTGTAGGTTTTTTAAATGTAACAGTGATCATAATAATACTAAGACCTCTAGCCCAGAACAAAAATCCAAAACTCATGAATAAGATGAGTCAAATAAAAATACATTAAATACAACTCGTTGGTTCTAACTTTTAATGTGGTGGTGTGACTGAGCTGTTGCAGTTCCGCCTTATCGCCACCGGAGGGCGATGATCACTTTAGATTCCAGCAGGCAGACGTAACTGATAAAAGTCGGCAGTGTTAAATATATATCGTAGCATTATGTAAGACAGCTTGATGTAAAAGATGCTAGTATTTATTTTTGAAGTTTTTACGTTTCTCATTTCTTTTATTTTTAAATGAGATTTAAAAATGCGTTTACTTTGAATTTACTACACCGTCGCAGTTCCTCCTTGTGACCACAAGAGGGCACCGAAGACTCATTTAAAATGCTGTTGTTGCAGTTTGTGATGGTTTAGCTCACAGGTTGAGTGGATTACCTTTTACCACTGGGCTAAATGCAGCAGTGGAGTAGTGTATTGAATAGGTGGTAAGGAAAATTTTATAGATGAAGAGAAAAGCGTAATATTTAGTGGTTCTTTATTTTTCATCCTTTTGACATTTATTCTCAACCATCCACGCCATGGACAAAGATGTATCTAATGGTTTAATTTGTTTTCTTCTCAGACTTTGTGCCCATAGATTTGGATGAATGGTGGGCCCAACGCTTCTTAGAAAACATAGATAAGCTCTCCTGACGCTCCTCTGGGATTCGATGCTCTCGGACAGTCTGGAGGTGAGACCGCGATGATGGCTCACAAAAGAAGAGGAAGCCTGGGCGGGAGTTCTGATGGGTCAAAGTGCCCAGATGTGGTTGAAATGGACTGACAGTGCTGATAACGGTGGACAGAGAAACTCCTGAGAACCACTTGAACTTGTGCGGTCACACAGCCGTGCAGACAGACTGCACACAGAAGGATGAAGTCTTAAAACTGAGGTTCATCTTATTTTCTCTCTCACAGCAGAGATGTTACTTTGAAATGCAGTAAAATTGTATTTTAAGTTCCAGATTACAGCTTCATTTCTTTAACCGGGCATTATGTTGAATCAGTGTTTATTTGCTGACAAGACTCCATAAATCCTCACACTATCTGAAATGACGTTTACCGCTTCCTGAATGCAGCAGAGTCTCAGAGTACGAGCGCAAACCGCTGCTCAGAAACATTTTAACACCGCAAAACTAACGAGCGTAAGAAAAATGGTTCAAGCAAAAAAAGTGAGAACAGCGAAAGATTACAAACTACCAGGCTGAATTTCAAATGTGCTGAGAGGTGAAGATTTACTCTTAAGTGTCCTTGTGGTTGAGCTGGACAACGTTTTTATGCACAATTTGTACCTCAAAGACGAGGTTGTTACTCTGAAAAACCAGATTATCTGGAAACTTGGAAGTGGCACATTTCCAAAAGGAAGACCAATAAAGCTTATAAATCCAAACTTGGAAAAATATCAGATATTTAAGATGAGTCCAGCTGGCAGCAGCACATCAGAAGTTCAGCGCTCACTGAGAAGCCTGGAGTATTCATGATGTGATTAAGAATGAGCCTGGCTATTAACTGAAAGTACACTAAGAGTGAGTGTAATGGCAAAGTCACACTGTAACAACAGACCGGTGCAACCATGACCTTCATGTCCTGTTAATGGCAGGACCAAAGAACACAAAGCGCAGAGACACTGAAGTGTTTATGGAGAATCTTCAGGCAGTTCCTGTTTCAGCCTTCACGCCTGCTGCACCGGTGGAAATGAAAGTCTTGAGAGGGGAAAAGAGGTGGCGTATTCTTTATCAAGTCTAGTTCTCTGGCTTTATCGACCATTGAGCTGCTGCGAATGCTCCAGTCTACAGGCCGCTTTCACCAAAGCAGAGTGTGTCTGCGGGCCGCTCTCAGTGCTTCTCTAAAGCTTTGGTCAGGAGGTCATTGAGGCGGGAAATCATCGGTCGAGGATCATCGTTCAAGCCGGCTGCGATCATGGCATTGTCATAGATCTGGAAAAAATAAAAGTAAAACTATAGAAGCTGCACTGCTACCAGTTAAAACAAATTACCATAAAATCTCTCCAGTGAACAAGCTAATGGCATCCTGCCTGCAGAGAAAGGCTGGGCAACGTTTTACACTGATAATAACATGCTTATTGTATCGGTATTGGCAATATTAGCCCTGTATTTACCAAAATTTGCAGTATCTGACAGCACTACAACGCAGCCTTTATTTTTTCATTAAAACACATTTGACATTTCATTTTTGTTCTTCTAAATATAAGGAAAGTGTTAAAAATTGTGATATGGCGTTTTGTTTTTTTTTGGTTTAGAAATCATTAATGGAAAAAATGGGCAAAGAGCAAATAGAGATGAAATAACTGAGCACAGTACCTGCTCCAGTAATAATCCAGCCAGCTCAGAGTTTGTGTCCTTCAGTGCGAACAACTTCTTGATCAGATCGTGTCTGTGAGAAAGCAGAGCGCAGTCAGAAGAGGACAAAAACCCACTTTCTCCCACTCTCCACCCAGTACAATTTGTCCACACACACACCCTGCATTGATCTCCAGTGTGGGCTGCAGTATTTGGGCTCTCTCCTCAGCAGTGCGGGCCAGCTGCTGGGTGCGGAGGAAGTGGCGTGCGGCGCCCATTTCCAGCACTGTGATCATGGCCGGGTGGGTGTCCAGACGAGGCGTCAGCTAAAGTGCCAGAGGAGAAAATTAACTACAGCACACGGTGGTAACAAAGAGACGTTTAAATCTGTTTCTAAAGGTGCTTAACATGAAATGGTTGTTACCAAAACCGAGGACAAACTGTGACGCCCATTGTTACTGGAATGTCCATTTAATGATGCAGGAAATGTGTAAATGTTCATTTCCCTTAAAGTTTTATTCATATAGCACCAAATCACAACAACAGTTAAGGTTAAACACCCTGCAAAATTACAGAGAAAACCCCAAAAATCAGGTGAGTTCCTGTGAGCAAGCACTCTGTCGACAGTGGGAAGGAAAACTCCCTTTTAACAGGAAGAAGCCTCCAGCAGAAACGGGCTCAGCGAGGGGCGGCCGTCTGCCGCCACAGGTGATGATGTGAAACCTGATTCTAATGTGCCAAATCGTTTTCAGCCAAATCGATTCCCACGCTGTGTGACAGTCACCTTAAATGTTTAAATGTAGTTTAAAGTTTCAGGCCTTTAATGTGCAGCCGTCACCTTATTAGCACTGATAATAATTAAGCAATTAAAATGATTAACTTAAAATGTTTTTATTACTACTCTGTACAGAGAAAAATCCAATCAGGTGATTTCCTGTCCTCTGATTAACGATCTTCTGTCCTCTGCTCGGACTGTCTCGTCCTTTTTGTGTGTTTTATGTTCCTTATAGATTTTTAATCACCATTTCATTATCACCCTCTGATAACATCTGTGATTAGAGCAGGTGCTACTCATACTGATCACTGTTTGAAAGAAGAGTCCCATGACCCACAAAGCTCCTCATACAGAGCCTGAAGCAGAAAGCTGATTACTCCTGTAGTGATACCCGTTCTCTCCACCTGGGGTTTTAGGTTTTGTTGAGCCAAAGAAAGCCTGGTTGTGCTGAACTTTGATGTCTCTCATGTATTCACATTATAAACTGAGTCAAACTCACAAATAATCGCATTTTCAAGCCGATTTCATCCTGAAATTCCTGACGTGAAGCTTTGGAGCTTCTGTGAAGATGTTGGCTTGTAATCTGTTTACGAACGTAAAAACTAAGGTCCGAGTCGCCCTAACTGTGTCAGAATTAGTCACACTTTGCTTAGTTCACATAGAGGAAGCAAGCTTCCACATCATTGGTTTTTATTTACCGACACGACGGTTAAAATTGAGTCCGTGACAGGAAATCAGCCGATCATTGACCACAGCTCCCAATCTGATTTAACCAGCACTTTAGAAAAGTGTTTAACTTTTCCCATCATACCCTCCTTCAGGACCTAAAGTTCACGCTCTTCCCACAAAACTTTACAAATCTACAACTGTGCAGAAAGAAAAAGGACAAAAAAGAAAGGAAACAAAGCGATCGAAGGTGCGGATAGAGACGACCAACAAGCCTCCAAGAACCCATCAGCCGAATTCAGAAACAGTCATTTCAGGTATCTCAGGCATGCAAATGTTCCTCTCTTACCTTTATGTTAGTCACACGGGGTCCAAGCGAGTTCTTCATCCAGGCCATGAGGTCGTCAGCCTGCTCCTGCGTCAGGCGCTCGGATGCTGCGAGGAAGAAAAGACGATGAGCAGGAGTCAAGTCTACAGCTGCAACAGCGAGAGGCTCTTGTGAAAGACGGGCACACCTGGCTTGCTGTCTTCATACTTCTCCTCCTTGTAGTGATCGACCACGATGTCGGTCTCGACTGAGATCAGCTTCTTCTTGTCAAACTCTCTGAGATGCAGCAGGGTCAGCTCATCGAACTGCTCGTAGCAGAAGAGCACCTGCATACGTGCACGCACGCAAATGGAGACACGGCAGTTTGTTATAGTGAAGCTCTAAGCAGCACCTGTTGTTGATTAATCAGGATAATGATCAGCTCGGGTTACCCGGCTGCTGGCTAACTGGAGTCTAAGTCTTACCTCCATGTCCTTCTGCTTCATGGCTTCGTAGTAGGGGGAGTGCTCTGCGAGATGTCTGTTGGGGGCACACAGGTAGTAGATGTTACGCGTGCCTGCCTTCATGCGGGACGCATACTCCATCAGATTGGTCTGCTGGCCGGCCGGCAAAGCCGACGACTCGAATCTCAGCAGCTTTGCGATATCCTCCTACAAAGAGCGAGGGCACGGAGCATGACTCAGACTCAAAGTGTTTCTGCTAACCTTTAAAGTTCTGTGTCATTTCAATGCAAAGCTCTGGTGCAAACCTTGACATCTTGTTCCTGTGTGGTGACGATGCCTTCCCTCATGAAGAGGCCGTAGTCCTCAAAGAACTTGCTGTACTTCTCTGGCTCCTTTTTGCTCTGGTCCAGCAGGAAGCGGATCACCCTCTGCTGCAGAACATCACGAAGCTTCCTAAAGAAAGGAGACGGCAGAGGAATGAGCAAACATCGAGGGGAGAACAAGCGAAGAACGGAAAAATTGACTGCACGGTTTTAGTGTAAGGGGTCAGTCTTCTCGCTGATATGCTCTAGTGATGTCAAACGTCTATTTTAATGCATAGTCAAAGCACAGGTTACCGTCATGGCTTTGATTTTGCACATGCATATTTTAGAGGAGATTTTTTTGTAACGAACTATAGTCGTTTCCTCTGAGGTCACGAAACTCTGTGTGGAGCGGTTTCCAGAAGAAGGTGAGCGGTCAATGAGATGCGTGGTTACAGCCGTGTTGGGAGATAATTCAGTCCCTTTTTTTAAAACACCGTTTTAAAATGGTAAATGGTTTGTATTTGTATAGCGCTTTACAAGCTACATTGTAGCCACAGCCACCTGGGGTGCACTGACAGAGGCGAGGCTGCCGGACACTGGCGCCACCGGGCCCTCTGACCACCACCAGTAGGCAACAGGTGAAGTGTCTTGCCCAAGGACACAACGACAGAGACTGTCCAAGCCGGGGCTCGAACCGGCAACCTTCCGATTACAAGACGAACCCCCAACTCTTGAGCCACTATCGCCCCGTTAAAATGCAAATGTATGCAGATGTGGCCTGAGACATGAGGGACTGTTATTTGATTAATGGAGAGTAAGTTCCACAATAAAAATACAGATATGGAGTACAGTACGTTTCCTTCATTAAACCAAACTTATTCCTAAAACAGCTGCATTACTGCTAGTGTACCTGATGAGGGCGCTCTCCTGCAGCAGCTCTCTGCTCAGATTCAGAGGGATGTCCTCGCTGTCCACCACACCTAAAAACAAAACAAAAACATTCTGCAAAGTGTTGCGTGAAGAAAAAAATACAGAGCATGCTAGAAGCATTCGAGGAGGAACAAACCTCGAAGGAAGCGCAGCCACTTGGGCAAAATGTCAGTAGCTTTGGTCTGAATCAGGACCTTCCTGCTGTACAGAGCCACGC